TTTTGTTTGTAGTAGGGCCCCCCCCCCCCCTCCCCTTTATTCATTATTGGTATTTACACTTAATTGTAATGGCCTTGTGAGGTGAGAGAAACCACCATTGTCACATGTTAGTGTGTGTTGGGGACAGGTATTAGCACTTCTGAATTGACATGTATTGCAAGTTTCTCCCTAATCCCTGTTGAGGCATTCCCATAAAATTGAGATGGTATTATAGAACTGGCTAAATCCAGGCAGAGTACAAGCTTTATGCATCCTAACTTGGACTTCAGGTTCTATTTGTGGACTTCAAGCTTGACATGCAGTGTTAGCAGTATTTTCTGTTTGGTCTCTTCCTGGGATTCTCCTGAATCTTGGCTATAAAACATGTGATATTCATTGGTAGTTTTGTGATATTAAGTAAAGGTGTAGGATGGTCATTTGTGAAATCTTTCTGCCTGCATCTGTAACATTAAGACACAATAAACATACTGCTTTTTATAAACTGAATTCTGCCAAGACATTTTTAAATCTTGTCTTTTTTTTTCTCGTTTGGAAAAGATGGGGGGAATGTTTTGTTTGTTTTACAGCCTCTTTTTTAATATTTTAATCTAATTCAACTCTTTTCCTTTTGCATCCTCCCCTCCACCCCTCTGATCCTTGCACCGACAGGAATCTACGACTGCATGTACGTGCTCATCTACACACGGCATGTGGCACCACACGTGTAGGTGTTCCCTGTGCTGCTGTCTTGCAGCTCGAGGGGGGTTTTTTTGACCCTGGGAACGTGTATACATTCCCCAGGGAGAAGTAGCAGTGGCACAAAGTGTGCCGCTGTTACTTGTCACAGGGGAAGTAAAAGTCTATACTGGTAAAATGTTTTATTGCCTATATGGTAAAATGTTTTATTGCCAAACTTCATAGCAATATTACAATCAAATATTCTTAAGGTCTTTAATTATTTTTCCCCCTGAAATAGTTTGAGCAGGGTATAGCAAGAAAGATGAAATTTCCATTTTCCAGTCCTTTTTTCTGAATGATTTTAGAAGTAGGTGAGTACAATAGCATACAGAAAAAGGATGGCCTTCCTCCTTCCCTTCACCAGTAGCTTCAAATATTTCTAATTTTTAACTCAGTAAAATAAATTTAATATACTAATTGTGTAATTTTATGCAATATGAACATAATACAATAAAATATTAATGGAAAAAATCTACCAGAGAAAATAAGACTTGCTAATCACATTTAGGATGAATAGAGATTTTGTGTGTCACCCAAGAGTTGATTGCATTAAATCCATATTAGTGTGTTAAACTTATAAAAATAGTTTGATGTTCTCTGTATGAATTCAGTAAAGTAATTGCCTAAAAATGAAATTTAAGAATCCATTTGTCTTGCCAGGTTGAAGAAGGGTTTCTGTTGCCACATAGGCACTGCTTTTTGAATATGTCAATGAGGTTTCACGTTTGGTTTGACAAGAGACATTTTTGTCCATAACTAATGGAAACCAAACTCTATCAAACTATTTGGTCTCTATCAGATGTGAGTATTTTCCAAATGTGCACAACAACATTCTTGAGGCCTAGAGCAAGATGACTGCAAAAATCCTTGTTCTTTTCACAAGGTTTACATTAGGTTAGAGATGTAGAAAGAAAAATTGATTTAAAGATAGATCTTAACTGGTTATTTGTACTTTTTGCCTTATTAGTCTACTACTCATTTTTATTTTAATAGCAAGGCAAGTCCAGTGTAAGTGGACAAACAAACTCTTCTGTCTGAAACATTTCTAACCTCTAATGGAATTGTCTGGCAAATATTAAATCTATTTGCTGGGCATAAAGTATGACCAAAATTGGAACTTAAATTCTAATTTAGACTTAAAGTGAGAACCTTTTCAATAATCGAGCTTTAAATACCATATTTATTCAGATAGAAGATGACCCTGATTATAAGATGATCCCCCAATAATTAGATTCGGTATATGGAGATTTTATACATTTATTAGAATTTTCCAGGTATAGAACCTAATTATTGGTGGGAAAATAAATTTGGGGACTCGGGTACCCCTTTGCTCTGTGTTTTTTCCCAGAACCTTTTCTCCTGGCAGCCTGTTCCCCCTCTCTTTATGGTCAGACCCTTCTTTCTCTGAGCACATGAAAGTGAGGAGCTAATTTGAAAACAGTTACCTTGAAACTAAACATGACTATAGCAATTTGCAGTACCCATGTACTTAGCTCATCCAAAACTGATGCATGCTACCTGTTTTATTTTTTTAAACTGCTGCAAGGTTTAATACATGTACTCCATAAACACACTTTTGAGCAGAACTTTGGCACCTACTTATATACAGTACAAACTGTGGATGATATTATGTGGAGAAGCTTGAAAGAGTCCAGAGGAGAACCACACGCATGATCAGGGGGCAAGAGAACAGGCCTGATGAAGAAAGACTGCGAGCTATGGGACTCTTCAGCCTGGAGAAGTGCAGGCTCAGGGGTGACTTGGTGGCAGCCTATAAGTACATAAAGGGTGTGCATCAGGATCTGGGGGAATGCCTGTTGACCAGAGCACCCCAAGGGATGACAAGGTCCAATGGTCGCTGTTTTAGGCTGGAGATAAGGAAAAACTTCTTTACTGTCTGAGCCTTCAAGGCCTGGAACAGACTTCCCCCAGAGGTGGTACAAGCACCTACTCTGGACATTTTAATGAAACATTTGGATACTTATCTTGCTGGGATCCTTTGACCCTAGCTGACTTCCTGCCCCTTGGGCAGGGGGTTGGACCTGATGATCTTATGAGGTCCCTTCCAGCCCTAATATCTATGAAATCAGTCCAAAGCCAGAGGCTTGTGATTTACTACATAGTTTATTTGGCTGGACCTCAGCAGTTGGCAGCCATGGTGACCCCAGAGCTCAGCATGTTTGTCTACTTCAAATATCCCCAACAAAGGATCCACCTGCTTATTTGCCCACACTCACGACGAACTGGGTGTTCTGGTCATGAATCTTGAGATGCTCCTGTGCGGGCCGGGAGCGGTCCGAGGCTTTCAGGGGCGCGCGGCGGGCTGTGGCCAGCAGCCCTGGCACGTGGGTCGGGGAATTCGGCACGGCGGACTAGAATTAGGCACGGACGCGTAGAGGTTGATTAAGATTATTTTACTTACAACGTAGATGGTCGCGGTGCAGGCAGGAAAACTTGCTTGCGTTGCAGTTACAGATAGAAAAGAAGAAGAGCGGACAAGAGTTCTAACTGCGAACTCTGGTCCAAGGCTGGCTGAGAGCTCTAGAACTGCAAGCCCGTCAAATCAACCGGACGAAATAACCCGAGAAGAGCTCTGGATACCACGATGAGAGTCCGAAAGGTGACTCCATGAAAGCGCGCAGGGAAGGGTACGTCGAGGGATCAGGTGGTGACGGGGAGGGGCTAGAGGTTGATCAGGCCCCTATATCCTTCTTAAGGCACACGCTGGGTTCGTTAAGCTCCACAGCGCGCTTAGAGTTCTTCACGAGATGTGAAGTCCTCCTTCTCCTCCAACTTGGGCGGAAACCACTCAAGCCTCTTATACGGCAGCCACGCCAATCGCTAGCCACCACGTGGGAATAATTTTAGAAACAGCCAATAGTGGGACACAAATTTACATACGGGTGGCGGGAACTCCTTTGCACCGGGGTTGTCTCTATGCAACTGAGAATTGCATGGTGCAAAGAAAGCTCCTCGTGGCGGGAAATAATTCTGCAGTGCCGAAGCGCACACAAAATCATACCCTTTGCGGCATGACAGCTCCAAAAACTTCTGTGCAGATGAGGTGCAGAGCTGCCTAGTCCAGCTTTACCACATGGAGGGTGGTGCCATACTAACCTTATGCATCAGGCTGACGGAGGGGGTGGCTGAGGTATTCTGGGTAAACTGTTTGGGGCCTGATTTTGTGATGTTTGCCAGGCTTTTAAGGCTGGTGAAGAAACAGGAATAATTGGGAATGGGAAAGAGGCTCAGCTGTGGGAGTGAAGAAGAAGTTCAAAATTATGCAGCTGTGGCTCGCCATGACTTGAAAAAGTTGGTGCTGAGGGGGACTGGGCTTAATAGGCACTACCATATGTTTTATTCAGATGGGCTCCACAAACTGATCCTTGTGGTAGGTTCCTATCAGTATGCAGGTCTGTGTTTTATAGTCATGCTCAGTGTTGGCTGCATTTAATCAACTTCTTAGTTGGTTTCCATTGCTGAATTTGGCAGCTGCTTAATGGCAGACAATGTATTTAGTGAGATTTTCTTATAGACAAGGGGCTTTTTTCCCCTCAGTGCTTCTTATTAATTTTAGTCGTGTGTGTGTGTAAAAAAAAAAAAAAAAAAAAAAAAAAAAAATCAGCCGACCATGCTGAGGCTTTATATTACCTACCCACTGGCAGTTGGATTGAGCAACAAAGCATTCTGAGACTAGAAGCTTATTTGCAAAATTCAGAATTTAGAAAATATTGGAATTTTGCTTTTTATCTACTTTTACACACTAGCTGTTTCTAGGTCCAGGTGGAATTTCTCTCTTTTTTTTTTTCTATTAAAAAAAAAGAAAAAAGAAAAAAAAAGGTTTAGCAACATCATGGCGTTTAA